TGAGAAGTTGACGTGCGATAATTACGAGGCGTATCGTGAGAATCAGATACGACGTATTTAATTAATTACTCGCACTTGGTGGGCTCTTTGTTCTCGAGTGTTATCGTGAATTTGCGAAGAGGTGCAGGTGATCAATGTATATATATTAAATAGCTATACAGGATCTTATGAAAACAATATATACATGACTATCATTGACGCTTCGATATTTAAGAGACATGGGAATCACGTAAATTTAACACGCGCAATTAAATTTTCTTCAATTGACAAAAATATGTTCAATCGTAAATATAGAAAAAACGGTTTTGTTAAAATATTTGAAAATTTAACTAGTTATAGATCTGAAAATAATTTTGTGGAGTCATCAAAATAATTTTGTAGACATCTCAAGCATGATGAGCGATGCTGCAAAAAGTTTCGATATTCTGGCAATCAATTTAAATGTCCTACATAATTATTTTTGTGGTCTAAACAAAATTGTTTTCAGATCTAGTTAAATGTTTAGATACTTCAGCAAAGCCGTTTTTCCGTGTAGGAAGATATCGTGAAACTTACGGATAATTGCCTGCTCATTAACAATTTTAACATGCGTGTCATTGTTATCTCGGTGGCACAAACTTAACGCAAAATTACAGCAGATTATGGAAAATAGGTATACCACAATGTTTTAAGCTTCAAGCTTTGATAAAAAAGACTCTTTGTGTCTGAAAAGAAAATAGTTATCAGAAAAACTTATCGCAACGTGTCGGGATTCGGTAGACATACGACTTATGTTATAAATCCCTCCGTATAACGAGCAAACATCCCTGAGATTTTTTTGTATCCAGAGTTCAAAGACAAAAATCCAAGGGATAGTATAAAATACATCTAAACAATGTTTAAAATATCCGGTAGCTTTTAGACGCATTTCAGACATCTCTTGGAATCACGCCAGTGAGATCTTCGTTCCGACCGTGCCGCCTCGAATTTGCGAGTTAATAAGGGAAGTTAACGTCTAATGATTATGGAGCGATGAAGAGCCGGATAGAATCAGTCGCGAGAGTTACAGGCGGGTACATTTAGCCGTTCTCTAACGTGTGCTAGTATAAATGTTTCGTGGAAAGCATGACTTTCCGGTGAAAAGGAATTTCGCGGAATGTAGTGAAAACGACCTTGAAAATAAAAGTTCACCGAGAAAGGCGAAGTTCATCTTAATTTTAATTGATGGATTTCTAATTGTAGAAAGATAGTGTGAGACGCGAAAAGAACGGTTTTGCTGAAGTATCTAATAATTTAGGAAGATACAGATCTGAAAATAAGTTTGTTGGACTATGAAAATAATTATTTAGGACACGCTAAAACTGATTGCTAGAATGTTAAAATTTTGCAATATATATATATATATTACTCATCATGTTTTAAATTTTTACGTAGTTATTTTGATGGTCTAACAAAATTATTTTCAGATCTGTAGTTATTGAAATTTTTAGATACTTAATTTCGTTTTTTCTGTATACGGATAACAATATTCTGAAGCGCTTGTTAACAATTTTAACGAGCATTACCATTGAATATGTTATCTGGCATAAAAAGAACGATTTGTCGAAATATGTAAAAATTTAATTGGATACCGATCTGAAAATAATTTTGCTGGACCATCAAAATAATTATGTAGAAATTTCAAGCATGAGAAGCAATCCCGCAAAAAGTTTTGACGTACATTCTGATAATTAGTTTGAGCTATACAATAATTATTACGATAATCCGAAAATTATTTTCAGATCTAATTAAATTTTTGTTATTTCAATAAAATCATCCTTTCGATGATGCAAATTTCCGCGGAAAATTAATGAAGAATTATCGGAGATTATAGGAAAACAGGATAAGTCCAAAAATCGTGTGTGCTTAAATTTTCAGTTGATTCGAAACAATTACCGATGATTGTATTCTCAATTTTTTTCGACAAGATCTGGCTGCTTTAATCGACATCTTTGAACTTGACTCAGATTTTTTTGTGTCGCGTTCAATTGCGTGTTTGAGCAAGAAAAGAAATTTGAAAGCAAGGTTATCACAAATTCCTCATTCTAAAATTCCATAATTTTTGCCTAATTTTAAAACAAAATTTCTTGATTTTTCCCGATGCTTTTAACAATACTTTGAAATTTTTTGTATTTTCGTTCTGATTTGAAAATCGTCAAATATTGTGTTGAGAGAGCAACTTAACACAGTAATGTAAATCACTATTAATTTATTGCTGATTACTATTAATTATATTGCTGACACTACTAGCATTTAATTTTTAAGGTGGTAGTATTCCAAAACTGACAAGAGTCTATATATATTAAACTTCTTTAAAGCAAAAATATTTCCATTAACTTTGCAGGAAATTTTTCAAAATTCCCTGATTTTCTTTTGATTTTTCTGACCGTTTACAATTTCTCTAATATTTCACTGATTTCCAGTTTTGTGACAACCCTAAAAATCCAATTGAAGGGAATTGTAGCGGAGGGCTCATTCATACATTTCTTTTCTTGTCACGCGGGAGCTGTAATAGGAGTTATAAGTCTTAAGTCGTAAGAAATTGACCAATCACATACTGGGAGAAGAGCAATCGACTGTGATTGGTCAATTTTTTACGACTTCAAATTTACGACTGCTATTGTAGACCCTTGTATTATCATCTTATACTTCTGACGCAATTCATCATTCCAGCGAACGTTGCTTACCTCCGGACTTGTTTATGCTACGCGGATATAAATAATAACTTCATTGTGTGTCACGCCGGTATTAATAATGCGGACCGTTTGCTTTGGGATTGTATTAACATTTCATTTCTCGATGAAATGAAATATTCATCTCGTTGCGAAGTAAAAAACCCAGCTGGATCGCGTCACGCTGTAAGAAATTCGAAATAGATTTAAAAGAAAAGAAAAGAAAAAAAGAACTAGCGGAAAAATGTATTTTCACAGAAACTTCAGGTCTGTTCGTGTTGCTTGCACTTTTTGCTTTTTGTACTCAGATTCTTCATTTTCTCTGTTTTCAATATCGAATATATATTTATTTTGTTTTAAGTGCAAAAGTTTTTGAGGATTTCAAACAATTCAAACAACGCGAACAAATCTTTCGTTTATCACGACTCTTACAGAAATCCAATTTAATACTGGCAAATTTAATACTATTAGAATTTAATTATTTTAAGTATTAAAAACATTAAACGACAACGCTTTTAATACTCAAAATAAGTAATTAATCACCACTTTCTTTCACATTTCGGCGAACGAGTTAAGGATGTATTACATGCATTTTTTTTAACAGAATGGAAAAATTACAAATTTTTCTATATTGTATTAGAAAGTAATACAAAAAGTTTGGCCGCAATAGAACTTCGATAAAAAATTATTTTAAAAAAATTAGGATAAAATAAGGAAACTTTATTTAAACTATAAAATGGTATTATTAAATATAAGTATTGACCTCATTGAACTATTTCATATCACTGTTAAATATATTATTCTTAAATATAATATTAACCTCATTGAATTGTTTAATACGACTTACATTTTTATATGGAAAGTGTAAATTTCCAATTTTAGGGCGAACGACTTGCCATCTTATTTTAAAACAAAACGGTCCATTCTTATTTTAAAACAATCTTAAGTAACGTCTTAAGGTGCTAATACAATTCTCTGATTGGCATTACGACATCTTAAGACCGTAATTAAGACAATCTTAAATATAAAAATTGACTATGAATACCTAGTCATTTTTCCAAATGATTATACACCAGGCGATCGATTGTGTATCTTAAAATGAGACAAAAATTACAAAAAATGAGCAAATTCACCAATAAAATTACGAATATTCCAGTAAATTCGCTCACTTTTGCAACTTCCATCTTATTTGAAGATATACAATCGACTTGATACGTCCTTAAGAATTCATTAGGGCAAAATTGTCGTCGGTCAACAATCGTACAGTCGGCGGCCCGTCGCTCGTCGACGTCGCGGTTACGTAATGAGAAACACGCCGCGGACGGTCCCGTCACCGGACGGGCGTCTTAAAATACGCGCCAAGGAAATAGCCTAGCAGAAGTCTGAAAATAGCCGCGCATCGCGTCACGCGTCACTCAGCCAATGGCGTCGCTCCACATGTTCGCTATCCGCGAGACGCGTCGCGAAGTGTGTCGCCGCTAGTTGTTACAGATGGGCGTCGCGACGCCGTTCGTCGGGACGTCGCGCTCGCGAGCGTGCTCATCGCGATGCCGGACGTCCCGAAAAGAACCGCGGGTTCGTTTCTCGACGGGTTTGATCGCCAACGATCGACCGCCGTAGACTCGCGCGGGAAACAGCGGGAAACACAATCCGTCACGGCGCGCGGCGGCGCGCCTGTCGCTAGCGGAGCGCGCCGCTAGACGGCGCTGACGCTCGCGCGATGATTCGCCTGATTCGAGGTGTCAGTCTCGCGGAAGCGGAGGTCAGGTTGGCAAGTCGTTCGCGCTGGTCACATTGTCCGGGGAAAATGACGTGCGTCCCGTGCATCCGCGCCTCGTGATAGCTCGCGCGTGCAGCGATTCGCAAGTAGCAACGGCAGCAGCAGCAGCGAGTAGCCAACGGTAGTAGCAACAACGGCACGTCCCTCTAGTACCTCGCCTCGTCACACGTTTTTCCTCTTTTTCCTCCCTTGGTCGTGTGCGCGCGCGCGAGACAGTGACACGAGTCGCGCGTTTTACTCGGAGAGTGGAACGTGAAGTTCGTCGCAAAGTTTCGTCGTGGATAAGCACGCGCGTCACCACCGCCGCCGCCGTCGTTGCGCGGCTAACCTAAATATTCGGCGGCCGTAACAGAATTTTCTCTCTCTCCCCGTCTCTCTCCCTTCATCACTCTTCTCTTTCTCTCTCTATCCCCTCCCGCCGCCTGGTTTCTCTCTCTCTCTCTCTTTCTCCGTCTCTCTCTCGCTCTCCGTTGACACGTCGTCATCAACGGGCAAGTCGTGCCCGTCGCACGTCAACGCGAGTCACGAACCTCTGCGAGGATATACCGTATAGTCCGAGTGCGAGTGCATGTCGCGCGGACACGTCGCGTTCCGAGCAGTGAGTCGAAACCGCGGTGGAGTGCGCGCCGCGCTTCCTCCGTCGTCCTCGTCGCCGTCATCCCCGTCGGCCCGTCACGCGGACCTACCGTCGCGTTTTGTAATTTCACACGGAGGCGGAACACCGTGGGACAGTCCCCTGCGTCTCGACGACACCTTCGGTAGTTGAAGTTTATTTCACTTCTCTTTTCTCTCTCTCTCTCTTTCTCTTTCTCTCGCTTTTTCCGCGTCCGTTTCTGTAACTTACGTGGTACTCGTGGATGAACTTATGTGGCGAGCTCCCAGCGAATTCTCCAATCACAAAGTATTGCATTTTTAGTAGGTTTTTTTGTTAGGACACGTCACATAGATTGGCTTCTATAAAGCCTCTTTCCAAGGAAAATTTTCTTTCAGTCGAGTGTAATGTGACTGCAAGTATATTCTAGAAAAAATATCGCGGAATATTGAGGAATTTTCTACCTCTTGGACTGAAAATTTTGTATAAATTGAGAGGAGTACAATTTCTTGGGTTTATATTAAATTTATTTTTTTAATTGTTATATTATTAGGATTATATATGTTCATAAAAATTATTGAAAAAGTATTGAAATCTATGAATTAAACATCTGTTTATCTGTTAAATATGTGACATTTAAGAGATAACTGAATAATTAAAGAATGTGTTTTACAAGAAAATATCACTTTAAAATTAACTTAAACCTTGAAACTCAACTCTTTACATTTGCATGTATTTAAGGTTAAATTTCATCATTAACATCGCCATTAAATAAATTGTTACATTTATTAATAATTATAGAAGCAGTTGTTAATAGAAAAATTTAGTCTAGATGTTTTCTAAAATCTGAAAAAAAAGGATTTAATTCTGTGGAGATATTTTGAAAAAAGATTATTTTCTTAACTTTTTTGTCACGTGACTAGATATTTTGAGAACAAACGAAGACAATATTGTATGTTTGAAACATTTGGTCACTAATTTGTATTACATATACATGATACATATAACAATAAAGTAATAACAGTTATATAATAATGTGCAGTGAATGCAAAAAGTATTTCTACAGGGGAAATTTATATAACAAGACGTTAGTAACAAATAAACATTAATTAGCAATTTTTTACGCTGAGTACGTTCTGTCTTAATATAAACAAAAGAACTTCGCGTATTTTCGTTTTTAGAATTTCAATTTCTCTACTTGTACAAATATTTTTTATGCATCTAAATAATACAATTTTTAAGATAATATACATTAATTAATACACTCATGTTTTTGGGAAAAATAATTTTGAGTATTAAACAGCCTATTCAATTCTTTGTTAATAAATTGCTAATTTATGTTTACTCTTTAAAAATATGTAAGATTTTTTAAAAGATATTTCCCGTCTTTCAATATTTTTTGCACTCACTGTATATAATATGGAACATCATTACATTCGGTAATCTTGAATAAGAATTAAGTACAGTGTTTAGTTCCTTTGATAACATTCATCAGTTTATTCAATTTTTCATTATTTCATTCAAAACGAATGACCTACTAATAAAAGCTTGCTGATTGTATAATTTATGCCTTTTTTTAATTCGCGCTTGATTTATTTACATCGAAGTAATTCTCTGGTGTTATTCTGTTCTTTTATTCTCTTTACTATTTTCAGTACGTGCCGCGTAACGAAACATTTTGTGTAACAAATAATTCTGTTTACTTTCAGAAATTGTTAATGTGAATGAACGTACACGATCGTCACTGAGAGGATAACATTGGTGAAGCATCTACGAAGCAGTAACCATGGAGGACGGCCATTGTAAAACTGTGGAAGAAGTGATAAATTACTTCAACGTCGATCCCGATCAGGGACTAAGTCCCGATCAAGTCAAAAGGAATCAGGAGAAGTATGGTCTCAACGGTAAGTAATCTTTTTTTTCATACATTTAAATTTTGGAGCTCTTGATAGATTGTTCGTTTGTCTATCCGTCAATTAAACGATCTGCTCCAAAAAGCGCATATAATTCTCTTAATATCGCATAAATTAACATAGTAAAATATTCATGAATTATCCGCGCTTAAATTAGAAATTAGGTCGATTAGTAAAATTAAACAGTGAAAGGTAATCTTGTATTTTTATTGTTCACTCCATCTTGTGAAAACTCTTTAATATTCATTACGTACGGTGGATATTCAATTTTAAAACTATTGCCATTCCTTTCAAGTTTCCTTATCTGCGCTGAATTACCTAAACTTTTTTAAAACTCTTGCTTCGCTCTACAATTAAATTTTAAAATAACTTTTCGCTATTTAGTGTATTTTTTAAAACTTATACACGAACTTGCATTGTCGATTGGCGATGCGGTTCTTCGATCGCGTTCGTATTTATTCAAGAAAGAAGAAATCTCGTCCTCGGATTACTCGAGGAATAGGGAGGAAAGTCGTCAATGGTGGCTGCGGGGTGTCCTGTAGATATTTGCGCGTTATTACGCGTAATTCGCGCAGCACGGAAGCGATATCGTGACGCTCGCGGAAATAACGCGCGTCTATTCGCCGCCGTGATGTGAGGAGCATGAGTAAAAGTGCCCTTATCGGTCTGATACGTAGCGATCGACCGTGTGTGTGCCACGCGTGTTACTTGTCCCCACCATCGGGAGTTACCACCGCCAGCTGTTTGTCGCCTTCCCGTACACGTGTTCAGAGTGTTTCGTAGTTTTCTCCGAACGATGATTACGCATGTGTCGTTTGATTTTGGTCGTAGGAGTCTTTCCACTGTCTCGCCATTTCTACTGCAGATAATTTTGTTGGGTCATCAAAGTAATTATATAGAACGCTCAAACTGATTGCTAGAATTATAAACTTATCGCAACAATTATTATGCTATTCTTTAAAAATTATCGTATGGATTTAATACTATAGTTTTAAACATCAGGGATTATAACAAAACCGAAAATCAGGAAATTGTCAGAGAATTTTGCAAAATTTTCTGGAAAATTCAAATTCTTGACTTCAAAGAAGTTTAATATATACGTTCCATACGTTATATGTACGTAATTTTAGAATATTACCAACTTAACAATAAAAAATACAAGCAATGTTAGCAACATTAATAGTAATTTACATTGCTATGTTAAATTGATCTCTCAACAAAATATTTGACGTTTTCTAAATCAGGACGAAAATGTAAAAAAATTTTAAATATTGATAAAAAAATTATGAAATTTTGTTTGAAAATCAAGGAAAAATTATGAAATTTTAGGATGAATGTGTGATCCTGTTGGATAAATCCATGTTGGTGTTTACATTAACACCAACACAGTGAGAATTATATAGACTCCGCATGGTTTTAAATTTACATCAATATTTTTTAGAGTAATTATTTTGATATGATCCAACAAAGTTATTTTCAAATCTGTCTAGCTAAATTTTTAGATACCTACTAGCAAAATTGTTCTTTCTGTGTAAACCTGAAACGTAAACCGCGTTTATGTAAAGTATTCTTTTATGCGCATAATGTATACAAAAAATTGAAATGAGCAATTGGCGTTTATTCAGAAAATCCTCGATTAGCATCTCAGGTAATAATTTGTCAGAATGTTTCCTCTATCGTAGTCATATGTTTATCAAAAGATTTTGCCTGTATTTATTTTTCGCGAAATTGAATTACCATTTATCAGAATTGTGTACAGTTATTTGTATTGTGGGTCTGATTTCCGCTTCATTTTGAAGAAGCTGCTTATGACGTGTGTATCTGTCGTGTGTATCTGGTTTACAATATAATATACTAATCGGGTATACGTTTGAATCATCGGCATCCAATTTCCGTCGCAGACAAACCGCTTAATTGAATCGCACGTATGTATTTCGGGAAATGCTTCGAATTATGCTGACGTCAAGATTCAATCGCGCTTGAGAAATAATAATTCCTTTGTGATAGCGTCAGAACTTAATCTCTCCCGATAACGCGCGATTATTGTGGTTAATTAATACGTCAATCAATGGCCATGACAAGTATATTGTGATAAAAGACTTATTATTTTAATAAACTTATCACTATACACATATAATTTTTAGTGACCTAAAAGTCACAAAAGCTCGTTAGAATGATAGTATTGATTACGTCAATAATATTTGTAAAAATTTCATGTGATAAAAATTATAGGAAATATATATAGATTGATTTGGGAAACACTACAAGAGATTTTGTGTTAAATATAAAAATAAATTTTTACTCTTTTTCTACAGGATTAACATATGTGTTATATAAATAATTTGAAAGTAAAAATAAAAGCAAAGGTTGCAAAATTTTATGATATAAATCGCTTTATAATCGCTTAATACTGCTTTATAACCAGTTTTTTTATACAGAACTCAATTTTACAATTTTGTTTCGCGCACGTTAAAATATAATTTATAAATCTACATACGGCTATATGCAAATAAGATATTTATTATTTTAACTTCTATGTCAATAAAAAGCTACGTATTTATAATTTTTTCTCTTGATCTCAGACAGCCATCTATATCATATGATTAATAACTAATTAAAATTCGATAGCTATAAATACTTAAACCTATATTCTTTTATGTTTTGTATCCTGTTTTTATGACCTTTCTAATCAAGAACCTCTAATCAAGTACTATTTTACATTTTTACATTTACCTAAGTTGCACAGTTTTTACGCAAAATTCTAGCATTTTTCTTTATTTTCATGTTCTTCTCTATCTCTTTTACTAATTAATTGTTCCATACAATGCCTGAATCCTTACGCCTATCCTCCGTTCTCTCTCTCTCTCTCTCTCTCTCTCTCTCTCTCTCCTTCAACTTCCCACCTATCTCTTTCCACCATTTCCTTATAGAAGATTGTCTTTCATGGTATCTAAATCTTCATTCCATGACTTACTCCATATTTCTTCCTTATTCTCATCTAATTCTACAAACCGGCTTCTTATCTTATGACATTCTTCTACATAAGACTAGGTCCACAATCTTGTTTTAAGAGGCCGTAAGCTTTAAGTTGTAAGTGACGATAGAATAGGTCCACACTTTGCTTTAAGAAGCCTTAAGTCGAAAAAGATTAAGTGTCAATAATTTCTGTCTTTAAACTGTTTTTGCGCAGTCTTTAGGCTTTAACCGTTAGACTTAAACGAATTGAGCAAAACCCAATTCTTACGGCCTAAAAGCATAAATTCTATGGCCGATATATCGTCACTTGCAACTTAAAGCTTAGGGCTTACGGCCTCTTAAAGCAAGATTGTGGATCTAACCATATATTGGCCACAGAACTTGTGCTTTTAGGCCGTAAGAATTAGGTTTTGCTCAAAATTCGCTTAAGTCTAACGATTAAAGACTGCACAAAAAAAAAAACAGTTTAAAGACAAAAATTATTATCACTTAATCTCTTTCGACTTATGACTTAAGGCTTTTTAAAGCAAGCCTAGCCTAATGCTGTGATGTTCTGATTTATTTCTCCGGAGAGTATGAGTGCTGCAGAGAATATTTTTGATCGAACACCGATAAATTCGAATTAAATTAGGAATTGAAGTGACATAGTTGATTGAACGAAATATCGACACGTATCGTTGCATTTTTCGCTTTGTAACTTTTGTCGATTTAAAACAAAGGCTGCAAATCCTCTTCGGTGAACGCGCGGAGGAAGGAGGAGCGAGCACGTGTCATGAACGATTTATTTTCGCGTAACCCGCTGCTGGTTAGCGCTCGTCGAAATGTCAGATGTTCCCCTCTCGGAGATTAAGCGTCGAGAATCTATCAAGGTGAATTATCGATGTGACTGCCTTACGCGATATGCTTATTCTCTCCTCAGAGATTTCTGTGTGAAAAAATGAGTCGAGAATTTATTATTGTACTTATTTTGAATCGAAAGATTATATATTATATTAACCTTTAAATTGATAAATAGGATGGCCATTATAGCGTCCCAGAGCCTCTATTCTGTAACTCTTAACGCAAATTTCGTTAGCGTTAAAAGTTACAGAATTAATTTTCTTTAAAATCTTATTCTGGAAAAGGAAAATAAAAAGTATTGTCCAGATGTCAAAAGTCTTAGACTAATATTCATAGTCCATTCTTATTCGACACCATCTTAAGTAATATCTGAAGATGCTAATACGGTTCTGTGATTTTTTTAATAACATCTTAAGACTGTACTTAAGATGATCTTAAGAACCGACTATGAATACTGATTTCTTAAATTTAGACATATAACTAATCTAAATTTAATTAAAATATAAATAGTAAAAAATATAACTGTAAAATTAACATTTTTTAGGCATTTTGAGCACTCCAGCTATCAACTTGCAACTTGTTACTTTTAAACCTCCTATTTAAAGGTTAATGGAAATAAAATAAATATTAAACATGACTTTTTGGACTTCAATCCCGACTGTTTTGCGAGATCATTTTTGTCAAGTAAATTGCAAGATCGGAAAAGAAAAGAAATACGACAAAGAAAGAAGTGACAAAGTTATTCCGTGTTGCTCGGAGTTGTTTATTAGTTCTAGTGCAATTCGTGATGTGTGGATTGAATTCATCATCTTGCAGAAGAAGTGCACAATCGCACAAATGCACCGCATTGCCGCCCGAGGATTTCGGGGTTATTCGCGTGTATATACGTAGTAAACATTACGCGGAGATTATGGCGGAGCTACAAAATAGGCGAGTGCGTGGCGAAGTATCGTCTTTCGTTTACGAAAATAAAATACAGTGAGCAACAAGTTCGCCCGCGGAGTCGAATCTTATAGTTAGACGTTATCTAGCGTGTCTCACCACTATTCTGACGCTCCTCTGAAGTTCTCCAAATTCACGACGTGATATAATTGTTTTAAATAACACCTGTTCTGCCGTCCGTAACATTCTTCCGTACATGTGAATTTTTTTTGCTGAAATTTGAATTAGTAACG